CCGTCCAAGTAGGTGCTAATGAGCTCAAATCCAGCCCCCGGGTAAGCGTGGTACCCGCGTACGAGCACTTCAAAATTTTTCCCGCGTAAATTCATAACTCGGGGCTCTGAGAAGCTAGAATCTTAAGGGAGTGTTCCCTGTCTAAGTGGGTATTAATGAGTTCAAACCCTGCCCGCGGATAAGCGTGGTACTTACGTACAGGCCTGTGAAAAGTTCCTTCCGGGCAAGTTACTTACTCGAGAATGTGAGAAGCTAGAAGAGTGGAATTTTGTGAAGGTTCCTTCCGGATAAGTTACTTACTCGAGAATGTGAGAAGCTAAAAGACTGCAATTTTGAAATGTTTCCTGACAGTTCTGGCGGCTGGTCTCAAATTCTTTCTACTAGAAGCATCTGCCGAAAAAACCGATGCCGGTAGCGACAAAAACTGCGGAGAACTGAAATTCTTTCAGCTAGAAGCATCTGCCGAAAAAACCGATGCCGGTAGCGACAAAAACCTGCGGGAAATGAAATTGTTTCAGCTAGAAGCATCTGCCGAAAAAACCGATGCCGGTAGCGACAAAAACCTGCGGGAAAGAAATTCTTTCAGGCGACAAAAACTGCGGGGAGCTCTGCAAAAAACGCATCTATTCTTTCAGCTAGAAGCATCTGCCGATAAAACCGATGCCGGTAGCGACAAAAACTGCGGGGAACTTTGCAAAAAACGCATCTTCGCACGGGCAGCCCGTGCGTTGGCCAATTTTTTAACGTGTTATTTTCTTACCTAGCGCATAAACGCAGTAACCGCCCATTCTCAGCATGTATTTAACAAAAGATTTTGCATGCAGGTATAGCGCCGATATTGAATGGAGCGTCTGCGCATAGAAGCGCAGGGATATTGCTCACCTTGCTGATGCTCTTCTGCTCCCATGTATGAAGGCATTTATTGAGCTCGTGCACTGTGGTACTATGTCGCTGTTCTCCCTACTATGAATAATTGTGGATTACCATTCAAAAATCAAGCTCAGAAATTCTGGGAATTATTCAGCCGAGAAGCTATAAAGCGAGAACGATGCCATTTAACTACTGTGATACGGTAGGAAAGATTTCTTTTAGCCATTTCTCTGTTTGATAAACTGATAATTACCAATAGATAGAGATTAATTTTGAATTTATTATGCTTCGCTTGTGCCAATAAACTGACGCTGAAGTCGTAAAAAAGCATTTTCATAAATTTTCAGTATTCTTCAGAATTGGGCGGTTTGAATTAAGAGGTACCGAACAGAAAGTTAGCGCAGTAAAAAAATGAACTGTACTGATACTTGTTAATATAAGGAATCTCGCTGCATTATTTAAGAAAGTGAAAACGTCGGACTTCCTTCTGCCCAAAACTAAAATAGATTTTGGTCTGTTTCACGCACATTTAGAGTACTGTTTTATAACTCCACTTTTTTAAGCACTTTGGACGGGTTATATTCGTAATGCTATGTGTATTTATTTCCTTGGACATTTTTTGAATAGTACGTGTCTTAGAGCTCATAATGGTTTGTAATACGGTGTACAAATGTTATATTTTTCTGTGATGTTTACACGAGCAACTCGCTCCTGTCTCTGGTTACTGTCGTCTCATCCGAATTAGAATTCCAGGATTTCATACTAATCATTTACATTTTTACCATTTTTCTGGAAATTCCGACACTGGTACAGTGAAATTTATCCAAGATGCCGCAAATTATACCATGAAAAAAGTGTATCACGATTTGTGCTGAGACAAATGTAAACACAGAATAATGCACAATCCATGTCATTTGGATGATTCTCATCAAACATAATACAAATCAAAGCGATCATTCAACAGACTGCAGCAACGTTTAGCCAATCCAGTAGCAGCCTGGACAAATAGTAGAGAGCTCTTTGTTGGTGATTTGTCGCTGTGTTGAAGCCGTAGGCACTCCTTGCTATCCCAAAACGGTACATTTTTCTTTTTCTTGGTCACTGATGCGAAATAGTTTC